TTGGGGGCCGAGGGCAGTCTCCGGCTGAAAGGCTGGAATTGCAGGAATGCTGCAGGATTTGGAAGGAAATCCACCGTGCAGGGTGGTTTTGGCTGGGAATTTGAGCCCTGGATATGCTGGAGGATAAAGAGGGGATCCCAGAATTTCCACGGGGGGCTCAAGTGTTCCTGGAACAAAATCCCTGGGATTTTGTTAGGATCGGGGTGTTGAGAGGGAGAGGGAGCAGCAGGAATTAAAGGCTCTGAGGCGCCAGGATTGCGCTGAAGGGGCTGAATCTCATCCATGTCCGTGTTTTTCCTGGAAAGCTGCGCCGCCAGATGCGGCCCTTTACGAGGCCAAGCGCTTCCATCAGGGATGTGGGATGGAGGAAGGTCACGGACGGGATGGAAACGCGGGTCACTCGTTGCTCTTTGCTTTCCAGGTCTGTCGTTCCAGGTCTTTTCTGGGATCTGATTCAGGCTGGGTTTGGGGGTGTGATCCCATTCGCTGAATCCCGGAATGGTTTGGGTTGGGAGGGACCTTAAGGATCATCCAGTTCCAACGCCCTGCCACGGGAAGGGACACCTTCCATTGGATCGGGTTTGCTCCAAGCCCCCTCCAACCTGGCTCCAGGGCTGGAAGCCTCTCCTGAGCTCTGGAATGCTGTGCTTCCAAACCAGGCCTCTCAGCTCCCTCTAGGGCCAAAAGGAAGGAAAAAACACTTCCAGAAGTTGCTCCACCTGCTCCTAAAATCCTCAGCTGGAGGGTCCTGCCCCTTCCCAGGCGGTGGCAAACCAAGCTCGGAGATGCCGGAATCCCGGACCTAAAAATTCCTGTTCCATCAAGAAATTCCTGCCCTGCACCCACCAAACACCCAGGAAACCTGAGGAGGATCCCAATCCTCCTGGCAAATAGGACATGGCTGTTTTCCGGGAAGAAGGGGCCTCCGAATCCCTCGGGATCCCCTCTCCATGTGCGGTGGCTCCGTTCCCAGCCTGAGCTCCCATTTCCCATCGTAAACAATGGGATCTCCTTTCCGGAGCCGGCTGGGAACCCCCCGGATCCCTCCCGGGTGTGCCCCTGTTGGGAACAAATCCACAGGGATGGAGAAAGGAGAACCCCCAAAAATGGCAACAAAGGAACTTCCTAAGTACCTAACAGGGTTTATAAGGTTCTCTGGTTCAATCCATGTTTTTCCTGGGAAATGGGTAGGATTGGCTGGCTCATTAATGGGCCTAATTAGCATCTCATTAGGAGCCAGGCTAATCACA